CAGACCCGTGCTGCTGGAACTGGCTCACCTGCTGATTAGACCCAGGTAAGACCCTCTTCCCCGAGTGGTACCCTAGATCAGATTCCCTTAAGCTGGGATTCCCCAGAGGAGTTTGGGAGGGAAACCCGGGCGGACCCGACTCTCCAGAAGTACCGAGATAGAACAGATGCTGGAGAGGAAGGAGTAGATGGAGAGTGGTATCAGTGGGTGGGGGACAGGTTATATAGGATCCCAAAGCCTTCCCAGAAGAGTGTAGCCCCTCCGTCGAATCGACAGCTAGTGGTACCTGCAAAGTACCGGCAGGAGATTCTGCGGATAGGGCATGATGTTCCATTAGCTGGACATCTAGGGTCCCGCCGTACAGCCTATAGGATCTCACAGAATTTCTTTTGGCCCAACTTTAACCAGGCTGTGCGGATGTATTGCAGTACGTGCGACACATGTCAACGGGTAGGAAAGCGGGGGGACCACCCTAAGGCTAGTTTATTATCGATGCCTATTATAGGGGAGCCCTTTTCCCGCATAGCTGTTGACATTGTGGGTCCACTGGCCAGGGCTAGTCCATCCGGTAAGAAATACATTCTTACTGTGGTGGACTATGCCACTCGCTACCCAGAGGCAGTAGCACTGTGTAATAAAGAGGCAGAGACGGTTGCTGATGCCCTGGTTAGAATTTTTACTAGGGTCGGGTTCCCTAAGGAGATCCTCTCTGACCAGGGAACCCAATTTACTGCTGTGCTCACTCAGCAGCTGTGGAAGGTGTGTGGCATTAAACCGTTGCTTAGCTCACCGTACCATCCACAGACTAACAGTCTCTGCAAGCGTTTTAACGGTACCCTCAAGCAGATGCTGAGGACCTTTACAGATACTTGCAGAGACTGGGAGAGGTTCCTGTCTCATCTGTTGTTTTCTTACAGAGAGGTGCCACAGGAATCTACTGGGTTCTCCCCCTTTGAGTTGCTCTATGGGAGAAGGGTCCGCGGACCCCTAGATCTCATTCGGGGCCACTGGGAGGGGGAGACGGAGCAGGAGGGGACCTCCATCGTGCCATATGTCCTGGAACTCCGGGACCGCATGGAGAAACTGTCTCCAGGCGGCCGAGGGGAGACAGATGAGGTGGTACGATTAGGGTGCCCGACAGCGGGTCTTCCAGGTTGGGCAGAAGGTATTAGTGCTCAAACCTGTAAAGGCAAACAAGATGCAAGCATCTTGGCAGGGCCCGTACTGAGTAGTAGCGCAGATCTGCGATACTACTTACTTGATAGCCAGCTGTACAGATGAAAGGGTTCAGAGATCCTTTCATGTGAACATGCTGAAACAGTAACAGGAGAGACCTGAGAATATTGCGGCAGTATGTGCCCCGGCTGCAGATGATCCTGAGAATTTAACCCTTCCCGATTTGTTAGAAAGGGACCCCCAGACTGACCTCACTACCCTTGTACAGCTAGGGGACAGGTTAAACCCCACAGAAATGGTACAGGCGAAACAGCTGTTGTGGGAGAAGCAGGCGACGTTTTCCCAGGAGCCAGGTTATACTACCCTAGCTGTACATAAGGTCGAGACCCCTGGACAGACCCCCTTATGACAGTCGCCATATCATATCCCTGAAGCAGTCCGAGACGGAATGTGGAAGGAGATACAGGAGATGACCCAGCTTGGGGTCATCGAGCCCTCCGACAGCCCTTGGGCCTCGCCTGTAGTCCTGGTGCCCAAGAAGGATGGGACCACCCGGTTCTGTGTAGATTACAGGCGACTCAATGAGCGGACCACCACTGACACCTACCCGATGCCTCGGGTAGACGAATTACTGGATCGTATTGCCAAGGGGCGCTACCTGACCACCATAGACCCCCGTGGCCGAGGATGCTATCCCCAAGTCGGCATTCATCACCCTATTTGGCCTGTACCAATTTAAGGTCATGCCTTTTGAGATGAAGAATGCCCTGGCTACCTTCCAACGGATGGTGGATAGACTCCTGGATGGCTTCCAAGAATTTGCCTGTGCATACTTGGACGACATTGCGATTTACAGTGGGTCCTGGGAGGAACACCTGGTTTATGTAGGGGTGGTACTGGATAAGATTCGGGCCGCTGGCCTGACATTGAAGCCAGAGAAGTGTCATCTAGGTATGGCTGAAGTACAGTACCTGGGTCACAGAGTGGGATGTGGGAGCCAGAGACCAGAGCCAGCCAAGGTCGAGGCAGTGGCTAACTGGCTAAGACCCAGGTATTGGCCTTCTTGGGGATGGCAGGGTGCTACCGACGTTTTGTCCCTGACTACAGCACTATTGCTAAGCCCCTGACAGATCTGACGAAGAAGAACTTGCCTAAGCAGGTCCTGTGGTCTCCGGCTTGTGAAGCTGCGTTCCAGGCACTGAAACAGGCTCTTGGCTGCCCCAGTTTCTAACAAAAGTTTTCTCGTTCACAAAGATGCTTCCATGAGGGCTGTGGGCTGTGCTAAGCCAAGTCGGGGAGGATGGAGAGCACCCTGTCGCATATCTCAGCCGAAAGTTGTTACCTAGAGAAGTAAGTTATGCGGCAGTGGAGAAGGAGTGTTTGGCCTTGGTCTGGGCATTGAAGAAGTTAAGTCCCTACTTATACGGGCAAGAGTTTTCCCTTGTGACTGACCATAACCCACTCGTCTGGCTTAACCGGGTCTCAGGGGACAATGGTAGACTGCTGAGGTGGAGTTTGGCACTACAGCCCTACAATTTCACTATCAGCTACAGACCCGGTAAGCAGAACAGGAATGCAGATGGGTTATCCCGGCAAACTGACATCTCCACCACCTCCTAGTCCGGTCATCCCCAAGTTGACCGGCCAAATGGTCAAGCCGGGTGTGCCGGAGGGTCCCACAAGGAGGGAGCCATGTGACAGAACCATCTGTCTGTCTATTGTGGTGGATTCGTCTATTTCTGCCCTCCTTCGTATAAATGGCTGTTTCTATTGCCAGCCATACGAATGACTCTTCTTACCGAACAAATCTACCGAACGGATGGCCACCCAGGATAGAAGTGTGCTGCTGGTTAACCTCTTGATCCCAATTAGAACGTTGTGGTTAACCGCAGACACTTCTCAATTAAACCGAATTCAGGGTGGCCGTCGTTTAGGGCCCCCACCCGCCGCTCAGGGGTGGGGGCCAGGGGGGGAGGACCTTAGGTCCCCCCCCCCTTTTAGTATTTAGGGCCCCCACCCGCCGCTCAGGGGTGGGGGCCACGGGGGGAGGACCTTAGGTCCCCCTCCTTTTTAGTATTTAGGGCCCCCACCCGCCGCTCAGGGGTGGGGGCCAGGGGGGAGGACATTAGGTCCCCCCCTTCTTAGTATTTAGGGCCCCCACCCACCACTCAGGGGTGGGGGCCGGGGGGGGACAGAAGTTCCCCCCTATTGTTTTTTTTAGGGCCCCCACCCACCGCTCAGGGGTGGGGGCCGGGGGGAGGACAGTAGGTCCCCCCCCCCATATCATTGAGTTAACTTTGGGGGTTGTCAAAGTTAACTCAATGATATGGAATAGGCGGCGGACCGAACATCGCATATGTTCGCCCGCCGTGGCGAACGCGAACATGCGATGTTCGCCGGGAACTGTCCGCCGGCGAACTGTTCGGGACATCTCTAGTCCCCATATCTATCTGTCATTACAGTCTCCCATTTGGTCCCCTAGGGGAGTGTCCACCAAGTAGGAGACCTGCATAAATACGGGCGGGTAGCCCACAGTAAAGCCAGATCCTGTTTGACCCTCAATGCGGAGCTTCTGTCTCGTTATTGGGGGGATTTACTATTGATGCCTAGAGACTGATTATTGGAACCGAAAGCCGCTTGGTGGATATCTTCGTTCGGCGGTTAGCGGCGGTTCATGGATTTCTGTTCGGGAATTTAGTGCCTTTCATGGATCCCGGTCGGGAGATTACCGCTTCCCCTGATGGTGGTTCGTATACTGCAGTCTATGCGAATGGAGTTACTGATATTGTGAACGGGGAAGGTTAACTAAACGGCGGTTTCTCTTAAAGATGCCAGGGGTGTCTTAACAGACCACATCCAGGCAGTAATCTATTTGAGCTAATATATAAGACAGGTAGGGAATAGTGATGTCCCGAACTGTTCGCCGAACGGTTCGCCGCGAAGGTTCGCCGTGGACTCATCATTGCGTAAACTTTGACCCTGTACCTCACAGTCAGCAGACACATTCCAGCCCATCAGCAGCAGACCCTCTCTCCCAGACCCTCCCACCTCCTGGACAGCATCCATTGTGAAGCTGCATTCTTAGTGAGCTGTCCAGGAGGTGGAAGGGTCTGGGAGGGAGGGTCTGCTGACTGTGAGGTACAGGGTCAAAGTTTACTCAATGATGAGTCCATGGCGAACCGTTCGGCGAACAGTTCGGGACATCACTAGTAAGGAACTCAAGATTATAACAATTCCAGTATTAACCTATACATGGGATAACTTATATTTTACACCATATTGAATCCTACATAATCAAAACACAACATAGTGGCCATAATATACTGCAAATTTTAATTTTTTAATTAAGTTGTTTGGCCGGGCCAAATTGGACTAATGGACTGTTTATTAGGATTTTTTTGCTGCTTACAACAGTTACATGGTTGCTTGTTTTTGTAGGTGTTGTTCCCAGCAAAATATATAATATTGGTGTTCATTATTTTACTTTTGTTTTACGTAATCACATACAATTCTTACATTTCCCTTTTACTGATTTATTATGTTTTATAGTGGTGCACCATTTTAAAGGGGCTCTGCTTGATATTATTATTTTATGTGGACTTGGCCCAATTCTAACAAATATATTGTATTGTCTTCTTTCTTTGGTCATATTAAAATCCATAATGATCCAAACTTGCTGTAAAAATAATAAATTACCCAATCTCAAAAAACAACAACTAAAAAAGCAAAAATAGAAGATTGCCATTAAATACAATTTTTGTTTAAAGCTGCAGATACTTTATATCCACCCCTTCCAGCCTAAGAATTGCTTAGTATGCTGTGTAATAGAATGGAAATTTCACTATTTACCTTGTAGGAATTATCATGAGAAATCGACAGATCCTGAACCAACATTTTTGAAGGTCAAGTGACTCTTCATTCAATTCTTGGAATAAAGCATTGATCTTGTTGCTTATTATAAAATTAGTTTATTCTCCCTTCTTATAATCAATCAGGGGAATGTATGATTGTAAGCTTGTTTGAGTAGGGCCTTTAAATATACCATTTCTATAATTGTAAAGCCCTGTGGAACATGTTGACACTATGAAAAATGCTAATATTGATTAACATGTTGCAAAGGGCAACTTTAAAAATATTATACATTTAACATCCGAAAAGGCATAGCAAACCATTTTAATTTGAAAACCAAAAACCTTATTGACTTCAGCATTTAGATTTTGGCTGGAAGAGAACCCAGATCTGCTATTTCAGAACTAAGTAGCTAAGTTATGCACAGATCTCTTCATTCCCATTTGATATTTATAGGAATGAATCCTAGAAGGAAAGTTTGGAATATTTCAACTTTACTATTTTTGTTTTTGGGATGCACAATTTTACTGAGACGAGGTTAGTCACCTCATAATACATAACAGCATGAATTAAAAATGAATGTGCTATACAGTAGATACTATAAAAATAATTAACATGTAGGCAAACAAACCTCCTCGTCAGTACCTTAAACAATGTCTATTGTTCCATCACAAAAGATTTGTGCTTTGAATAGAAATGTGGCCACGAGGTGGGTCCAATACAGCTGAAATAGAAAAATGACAGAATGTTACAGTCATAAAAAAAGAGCAAGAGGGGAGATGGAGAAAGAGGGTGACCTCTGACACAAACTCTCAACCACAAGTTTTTCTCTAGCTATCATCTCCAGAGTTGCCATCAAGGGGTGACCACCATAAAGGTCTGCTTGGGGAGACTCAGGCCCGGGTCCCACAGTCCCAATGTGCACATATATAGCGATTAACGCTATATATATGTGCACCTACAGCACCCCAGCTACCTGTATACTGCAGTCCAGTCAACACCATTTTCAAAGGTACAGCAACTTCCCTCTCTCTAACTCATGCAAGACCCTCGCCCATCAGAACAGTCATTATAAAGTGAATGTAGCATGGGCTGGGTCCCTCTGCAGTATACAGAGCCTGGCAGCCTGCACACTGACACCGGACCACAAGGGAATGTAATCTCCTCTCTCGAAGGCAACATGTAAGAAGCAGGGAGGGAGGAATAAAATAAACATTTACACACAGTGCAACCACTACACAAACACACACTCTCTACATTGACTATTCACACTGCATCCACTACAAACTACATCCCCTGCATCTATTACACAAACATACACTCTGCATCCACTACTCACACTACATCCACTTTACACACACACACCACATCCACTAGAAGCACACTGCATCCACTACAAACAAACCAGAGGGCCCAGACCATGAGCTGTGTAAGGAGCCCCAAATGTTCTAATAGCAGTCCTGTCAGTCTCTACAAAGTAGGTCTAATATCTACTTTATCTAATCTTTATTATTTTTTTACATCCCTTTCAACCATTCAAATATTGAACTTTTTTTGTTTTATTTAGAGAAAAAAATGGTTATGGCTACATATGGATACACAATTTTGTTATCCGGGGAAAATACAGAAAATTTGATTTTTTTTTTTCTTCCGTGCACTGATCTTGCAAGTGTAAAAACATACAACTGAACACATAACTTTGAACAGCTATGCAACACGGCAGGCTTATAGCTCTTTATCTTTTAAACATTTATGCTGATGCAATTGCTGCTTAGTAATTCAACTTGATTATGTCTGATAAAGACATGTGGTCACATAACCTGCTATTTAGTATTTCAGAACATGGCAGCTAATAAGAAAGTCAATTTCATCAAAAAAAAACTGAAAGATCTTAGTTGTTAATATTTCATTTGGAGCAATTTGAATTGTTTGTTATTCACATATTCATTGAATAATTACTAATACTCGTGATATAATGGTAAAATGATTCAGATATCTAATCCATTATGCACAAAGTTCTGCGGACAAAATCCTTATTAAGCTACCATCTGCCATTATATTCTATTATCTAAAAAATCAATTAAATACATAAATGTGTGGTCTGTTGGAGGTTTTGACTCAGATTATACTGTAGTGATTTTTCCTCCCTCTTTTTAATCAATTCATCAGCCTAATCCTTTCGGCACCTGTCCTTACAGGAAAGTTATTTAGCATTATATCTATATGCCATTTCACTTAGGATTATTAGGGTATAAATTAGTATAATAGTAAAATTTAAAAATTTGCTAATTTGTCAGATTTAATCAAACACATTATTTTCAAAGAAGATAAGCATTAATATAGTTTTAATTTGAAATTACAAACCAATAATATGGGCTTATAGCTCACACTGTTTTAGAACTTAAAGAATAGTAATGATATTAAGATTAGTTAATACGGTGTGTTGATTCTCTAATATATATCTTCTGGACATTTTGTTGTTATTTCTTTTTAAAACAGCACAGGGCAGCACAAAACCAGGATACACCACTGACTGAAATGTCGATTCATGTTTTAATTTTGCCAAATAAAGAAATATTTTTAAGAAGACCATGAGTGCTGCCACCTTCTCTGATATATATACATATATTAATATAAAAATACACTTGTAATTAAATTGAGAAAGACCCAGCAGTGTCAAAACTTCGATCAGTTTACTGAATGTAATTTCTATATAATAAATCACATCATTCAAGTCTAAGACCTGTGAGTGCATCCTGGAATTAATATATATATATATATATATATATATATATGTGTGTGTGTGTGTGTGTGTAAATAAATGTAAAAATAATAGAATTAATTAAATAAATTATATATATTATCAAAATACAGTTAGAATAAAATTACATATATATTTATATATTTTACTAAGGAGACTTCACTGAACACAAATATTAGTGTTTCAAAACAGTAAAACATATCAAAGCTATGATATTGTCAGTGAAAGTGACTTTTTTTGCATTTTTCACACATAAATGGCACTTTCACTGATATCAATGTTGTGATACGTTTTACTGTTTTGAAACGCTAATATTTGTGTTCAGTGAAGTCTCCCAAGGATAACAGTGCCCTGTATGTACAGGTTTTATAGTTTTTTTTTAAAGTTACAGAGTCAAATATAAGGCTTGATTTTCACATTGAAATTTGCCAGATTGGTTATGTTGCTTTTGAGAGCATATGGTAGCCCAGGAATGAGAATTACCCCAATGATGGCATGCCATTTGCAAAAGAAGAAAACCCAAGGTATTGCAAATTGGATATCTTCAGTCTTTTTAGTAGCCTCTTAGTCACAAACACTGGCCAAAGTTAGCGTTCATAATTGTTTTTTGCATTTTTAACACACAAACAAATATAAATACTAACTTTGGCCAGTGTTTGACTAAATGGCTACTAAAAAGACTGGACATACCCCATATTGAATCCCCTGGGTTGTCTACTTTAAAAAAATGTGAGGTGTGATTCAGAGATTTATGACAGATAACAGTGTTACAATGTCACTATTGATATATTTTTAAAATGTATATTTTGAAACAACAATGTCCTACTTGTACTTATAGCCCTATAACTTGCAACAAAAAAAGGTAAGAACATGTTAACATTGGGTATTTTTAAACTCAGGACAAAATTTAGAAACTATTTAGCCTGAGTATTTTTGGCGGTTGTAGATGCATAACAGATTTTGGGGGTCAAAGTTAAAATAGTGTTTTTTTTTTTGTTTTTTTTTATATTTTATAATTATTTTTACAGTAAATTATATGATATGATTAAAATAATGGTAGAAAGACCATTTAATGGTGAGAAACTGTATATAATTTGTGTGGGTACAGTAAAGGAGTAAGAGGAAAATTGCAGCTAAACACAAACACCGCAAGAATTGTAAAAACAGCCTTGGTCCTTAACGGTAAGAAAATTGAAAAAAGGTTTGGTCACTAAAGGGTTAAAGTTTTGCTAGTTTATTTATGCATATTCACATCCCCATCTTTAGTAATGAATAATAATAAAAATCCCCTCATCAATGGTTCATTGGAAGAAGAAACTGTGGAATACACCAAACCAACAGCAGCAATAGTGCCATGGCTTCACAACAACTTAGTATCTCCTTTTCATCCATACGTACTGCTGATACCTCTGCTGCCACCACAAATATCGTCTCCACAACCAGAATTCAGCCTCAGGATACTGGGACAAGCATGTCTGTTACATCCAATTGTATTCCTGTTTGTTTGTGTTTTGTTCGTCTCTGCCTTA